AAATTCAATGTTCCTATCTCTTTCTTTCTCACTGTAAACTGGTGAGCCTCAACGACGACTAAAAATGTAGTGACTTAGAGATATCCTCAAAATGTAAATACATATTCAGAAAAAAACAACAAGAGAGAATAAACGACAACATATTTGTTTGATATATTTCAAGTAGAAACTTGAAGTAAACCAGATTTCTATATTCTTATATTTTCTAAGACTTCATGTTTTTTTTTGTTTTGTTTTTTTTTAATATATAGCTTAGAGGAGGTCAACCGACCTCACATTGTTACGTAATAGCTCCAATTTAGCAGTGGAAAATCGGTCTTGATCCATAAATTATGACCGCTATGACTCAGTATATTACCTATATTTCTTTCTATCGGCCAAACCTCAAGGGAGCTACTGACATACTGGAAGACCACATCTCGATTCCTGATTTCATACAAGTGAAATCTTGCCTGGATCCGGTCGGTGTAAGTTACCTATAGTAGACTGAAGGGCCTCACATACCGAGGGAGAAAAATCTCGGGCAACGTGTCCTCTGGAGGACGGTCATTCATCCAAGTACTAACTAACTCGATTTTATTTAACTTTGATTAATTATTACAAGCACCTTAACCCGTTCAGCTATCTCGCCCACATATGTATACGTTTAAAACTCTTTGTATATACAGTTCAGAAGGTAGTGTTTTGTGGTTTTTAAATAGATTAATAGAATTGATTAAGAGACTTTCTTTGCCTACTGTATGTATAATAATGAGGTTTTTTTTTTTTATGGTCCTAAAAAATTTTCACATCGATAATTATGATGAAAATTAAGAAAGGTGTTCTTTAAAGTTTGGCCACATTAAAAATACACTTCAAAAGTTTTTTTTCAGTTGTGCCAGAAAATAGCTTTTATTCACAGTACTGTGGTAAGTGAAACTCATATAATGCGTACTTCAGGTTTTGTTTTTTTTCCATTTTTTTTTTTTTAATAATAGATAATTCCAATTTCAGTCTTTTTGTACCCAAAAGACTTTGAGCAATTGCAATAACACTTGGAAATTACGATTTTTTTTTACGTGTTGGTAGATTTGAGCAGAGGCCATTAATTAGTAGCGGAACAAATGACAATAAAACGAGGAGATTAAACAAAACGTGACCAACTCACCTTCTCTTATCTGTTGTGAGGTTTATGGCGCAGCTTTATCGAAAATATTTTATGTCGTATTTAACTTAATGCATACAGGCATAATATCCCTTGTAATTTCGGCGAGGAGAAATAAACTAGTGTATTCTTCAATAGTATATAATTTCCAATCACGGCATAGTTTGAATTAATTAGAGGATTTACATGAAAAATCTTTTTTAAAACATTAAAAAATCGATTCCAATCCTTTTTTTTCTTATTTCATTGAATAGTTGTTGGGATGTTCATGTCCGTTATATATGATGTCATGAGAAATAAATTATGTTGTGTTAGCTATTAAATTTTTAATTGCATTATTTTTTTGTTCATATTTTTCTGAAACTAAAGTTCTTCCATGATTGTTCAAATAGATCTTAGTAAGGTAGTGAGTTGATGATTAAATCCAAAAAAAGGATGACCTTAAAAAATATTAGACCGTTTCAAGTATATAACCCTGTTATTTTGGAGAATAGGTCACGCCAAACGGCCCAATATTTTGTGGGCCTCCTTTTTTTTTTCGCACTTTGTTATCATATTATCTTACGCAATCATATTGGAAAGCAAATGTATATTTATAAGTTTTTAGTGCCCAATTAAATAGACAAAGTTTGCCGATCTACAGATTGAAAACGCCCTAATTTCGAGAATTTTCGTAAATAAAATATTTGTAGATTGCGATTAGATGAAGCTATTTACGAAGTTTAGGCGGATGTTAAAAAAAAAAAATGACCGTTTTATCAAATTCAAGATTTCAAAGGACTGTAAATATTTTATTTCTATTTAATACTCACCAAGCATTCTCTAGCCTTGTTTAATCCAATTCGACTTCTTAAAAAAAAAAAAAAAAAATCAGTTTAGTTATTTGTTTCAAACAAGAAACATGACAGTATCCTACGAAATTCTCATAATTTTAAGGCACTACTGAAAATAATCACAGAAACTGAATCAACTGTTAAAATTATTAAATATGAAGGGGAAGGGGTCCTTGACCAGCGCCCTGCGCGGCGTTGGTTTGAAAAATTTAGCAGTGGAGATACGACGTTGGAAAAAAGAAAGGATCCGGGAGATCATTAATGGATATTGATGAGGTTCTGCAGAAAGCTGTTGCGAACTTTCTAGGGTGTGTGGTGTGTCGAAAGATACTGTTAGGCGCCATCTATTCTCCATGGGAAAAGTGAAAAAAAAATCAGTAGATTGGTCTCTCACGAAATTACTCCTCAGAAATCAGCTACGAGGTTAGACATTTGTGAAAATTTAATGAAAAACCCTCGAAGTCGAACTCCTGCCTCATCCACCACATAGTCCAGACCTCGGACCATCGAATTACTACTTATTAAGATCAATGGCCCATTTTCTTCATGGGAAAAAAATTGATAGTTTTGTGGAAGTTGATATTGCAGTCTAAGAGTTCTTTGAAGGCCATCCCAAAGAATGGTACCAGTGTGGGATCGAGAAATCGGCTAGCAGATGGCTAATGTCAGTAAATAAAAATGGACTATACTTTGAGTATTAATTGTATTTTATATCAAAGAAATAATAATTCCAATAATTGTGGGTTAATGGATGACTGCCATGAATAATGAAGAGAACAATGGTTGGGATGATCAGTCAGAAATAAGAAGGCAAAAATAAATAATAATATTTGACTGTAATAACTTCCAATTATTAACAAACGAGTATATTTTTTAACATTACATGTTACAGTCTAGTTGACGTTTCGGGACCTTTTATTCCCATCTTCAGAACTGCAATTCCAATACTCTTGTGGATGCAAGGCTAAAAATTTTTTTAAAGTTACAATATTGTGTTTGTTACATTACATATTTGTATTATGTTTGTTACAATAAATTTGTAATTACCTTAATTCTAATGATTATAATAATGTGCTCCATCGTCAATTTTCTAATTTATGTTCTAAATTTTACCATCTAGAGCAACATTCTCCTTTTGACCAATAATTGGGTTTCTGCCATAGTGAAAATTTGACCTTTGGATCTAAATGTTTTATCTGACTATTTTGATTGTTGTTGTTAGTGTTATTTTATGTGTCTGTGATTTCACTTCTATTAAATTTTAATTTTGTTCAGTATGTCTGTATAATGGGTTCCTAAATGTTTAGTGTCTGTTTTGTAGTTGACTGTAGTTCTGTTGTTTTTTGTAATGTGTATTGCTTCAAGTAATTTTCTGTTGGTGTTCTTTGGTTCTGTGCCAATTATTTGTGGTTTGTTGAAGTTAAATTTATGCTGTAGTTTTATACTGTGATGTGCTAAGGCTGTTGTGTTTATGTTTTTTGGATTTTTACAGTTGGTGATGTGTTGTGCGATTCTAGTTCCTAATTGTTTGGATGTTTCACCAATGTAGATTTTGGGGCAGTTTTGACAGTTTAATTTGTATATTGCATTTTTCTTGTTTATTGGTTCTATTTTATCTTTTGTGTTGGTGATGTGCCTGCTTAGTTTCTTGTTATTGTATTGTCCGAATTTAATTTCTGTCAAGTCATAATCTTTGAACACGTTTTTAATTTTGTTAGTGAATCCAGGTATGTATGTCATTTTGTAATGGTAGTTGAAGTCCATTCTGTTTGTTTGTGCTATGTTATCCTGATTGTTTTCGTTTGTTGGATTTGTTTTTTCAAAAAATTGGGTGATGAATTGTTGTGTAGGTTTCTTTATTATAGTGTTTTCTTCTGGTGTTTTTTGTATTGTTTGTTTTTTGGCTCTAATTTTGTTATTGTTTAGTGTTGTATGTAATCGACTGTACCAAAGTTTGTTGATTAAGTTTATGGAGTAAAAGTTCTCGATAAGTATTTTGTATATTTCTGTTTTTACCAGTGGGATGTAAGGTTTGTCAGTGAGTTCTATTGATTTGTGAATTAGGTTCCTGGCTGTGTTAACTATTTGATGTTTGGGATGGTTTGAGCTAAAGTTAAGAATTCTGTTGCTGGTACTCTCTTTTTTTGTCCATTTAGTAAGTATCTGTCCTTTGTCCATAATTATGTCCATATCCAAAAATCTGAGTCTATTGTTTGTGGCTTTTTCTATTGTGAATTTGATCCTTTTGTTGAATAAAAGGTCCCGAAACGTCAACTAGACTGTAACATGTAATGTTAAAAAATATACTCGTTTGTTAATAATTGGAAGTTATTATTGCCAAGCAACTTAATAAATTGACAACTTCCCAGGAAAAAAGAAAAAAGAATAATATTTGACATTTGTCGAAGTTTCGAGCTGAAGTTCAGGCCTTCATCAGGACCATTCATTGTATCACTTTTCTCCTGTCAACTACAGGAGAAGCCCCGATGAAGGCCTGAACTTCAGGTTGAAACGTCGGCAAATGTCAAAATAAATATTATTATTTATTTTTGCCTTCTTATTTCTGGCTGATTGCCCCAACCATTCTTCTCTTCAATAATTTAAATATTTGTTTGAAAAACGGTAATTTTTTTTTATGCACCATATTAATTTGATAAAAAGGGGTCTGTACCTCGGACTAATACTTTGAAAGCTTCAGGATTTTTATTTGAAAAATTGCATTTATTTTCTTACAATAAATTTATGTTTCTTTTAGAGTCCTTTCTCTTATAAGTTAAACTTTTATTCTTATCAAAATAATTAATGTCTTCTCTTTGGTTTGTATTTGGCCAGTAAAAAAAAAAAAAAGATTTGTTTAGCTATCTTCTGCCAGGAGTTGAGAAATTGTACTTCTGGTTTTAGAAATTAAACTTATAACAAGGAGAACCATTAGAAGGGAATAATAAGGATTAAAAGAAATCTTTTGTAAAGAATGCAAATGAAAGAAGAGACTTAGCTGAAGATAAGCTGGACAGGAAGAATCGTTAACGATAATCCCCGTCGAGGACACAACAACTAACGATCTTTTTTTCCTCTCTCTTCCTCTTCTTCTTCGTTCTTCTCCTTCCTCCGACTCTCCCAGTCTTCTTCTGGGTGTCCTCTGAGGGCTCAACTATACTCCTAAGCCGATCCCGCGATTTAGCGAATTCTATCGCTAATGGTGGAATAGAGGGCGACCCTTCTCTGTCATTTATCTCTAAATAATGACCCCCTCTACTGTCTCCTCCCTCCCCAGTATTCATAAACTGCGAAAGGGGAGCATTTAATTGGACGGCCTTTGTGAGCTCGGAGAGGATCAAATAACAAATAGTGGAGGGTCTCATTTCAAACGGCCCGTTTGACACGGGTCCTCACAACTTTTTCCTTGCCTTTTATTTCACAATTTAAATATCTTTTAAATTCGCCAAACTCAATAATTGTCAGGACTAGCGGTTTATGAAATGAAATAGAAAATAACTTTATTCTAGGACAAAGTCCCTTTAGAATAACAAGATAGAACATAGTTAAAATACTACATCTGGCCAAAATAAAACAATGATAAAAAAGAGAAAGTAAAGAAAATATTAGTTAAAAAAGCTATATATAAAAAAAAATCTATACACAAAAAAACTTAAAACTATGGTAAAACGCTTAAGACTATGTACAGTAGGAAAAATTATAATTATACTCTTTTGAAAAATAAAATAATAAACATACATTGAGTTCTTCCTTAATATGAGGTGTGCTTCTGCTAACAAAGAAAAGACAAAGCTGACAATATAAAATATCAGTGTATTTAAATAATGATTAATGTGTAGACTCATCATTGTCAAATGCCAGCTATAGACACAGATTTAATTATATACAAATAAAAAATAATAAAAAAAACAAACAAACAATAGATGCCGTCATTGGCATTAAGAGCAGAAAGATATTGTAATGTCGCTAGTGAAGTTCACAGTATAGAATAGTACTATTGTTTGATGATGACTAGAAATGTATAATATCGAAAGTTTAGCAAGTATCTGACTGTTTTTGGGATAGGAATTGGAATATGAGGGATTTGAATGTGGATATGGAGGGGGAATACCGAATTTTGATAGGTAGAGAATTCTAGAAATTGACAGCGCGAGCTATAAAGGAATTCTGAAATGAGGCAGATCTGTGAGAGGGGATGTAGAGGTCAGAAGGTCGAGATCTTGTTGAAAGGGAATGGACTGAGGACTTGAATTGGAGAAGGTTGTAGGCGTAAGAAGGACGATGGTTGTTGATTATTTGATAGAGGAACGTACCTAGGAAATATTGTCTTCTAAAGGAGGGAAAGAGCCACCTTAACTCAGTGTAGTGGTGAGAGACATGGGAGTACCTCGGGGCACCAATAACAAATCTTGCGCAGCTATTCATTAATCTTTTCATTCTATCACGGAGCCCCACCGAGAGGCCATCATACACCACACAGCCGTAGTCAAAGTGGGGGAAGATGAGAGAGGAAATTAGGAGTCTACGGGTATGTTGAGGTAGGAGATGGCGGAAGCGTTGAAATAGTTTAAAGGTCGAAATTTTCCGACGGAAAATGTGAGGAATATGGTAGTTCCAGAAGAGGATTTATCAGAATTTTGTTAAAAAATGTATGATTCATGTCATGTTTGGTGTTATTGAACAGTGATGAAATGTTTAATTGAATATTTAATAATTGACCATTGCATTATAAAGGAATGAGATGGTTCGGAGTGGAGGTCATAAATAGGCTAAATAGTGGTAAAACAATTTTATTAAAAGCCAACGTTTTGACCCGACTTATCAGGCCTTCTTCAGGGCTAGAACAGACAAGATACAAAAACATAGAGAATTGTGGAAGTTACATAATATTTAGACAAAAAATTATAAACAATGTGGAGAAGCTTATTAAAATTATAAACAGTAAATACATTAAAATATGAACAGAGTAAGCTAAGTAACAGGATCTTGTTACTTAGGATTTCGAAGCAGCTTAATTTTAAGTTAAGTAACAAGATCCTCAACTGAAGTAAATAGATGCTAACAATTGTTGTAGTGTAATATATAATAAATGCAAATGTGAATATACTTGTACAGATCTACAGGAGTGATTGAACGAAAAGGAAAAAGGATATAATATGAAATAACAGACATAAAAGAATGAAGAGAAAGAAAAGAAAAAATAAAACCAAAAAATTAAATAAATAAGTAAATAAAATTAGAAGAATAAAATTAGAGACTTACATGTGTGTTCAGCGAGGAGTTTCGCATAGAAAAAAGTTTCTAAGCTTATTCAGATTGTTTATAATTTTTTGTCTAAATATTATGTAACTTCCGCAATTTTCTATCTTTTTGTATCTTGTCCGTTCTAGCCCTGAAGAAGACCTGCAAAGTCGGGTCGAAACGTAGGCTTTTAATAAAATAGTTTTACCACTATTTTGCCTATTTATGACCGCCACCCCGGACCATCTCCTTCCTTTATGAAATGTTTAAGCATAATTTTTTTTTTTTTAACTGCCATGTTTTTTAATACCGCTCAACTTTGAATGGAAATTATTTTCTAGCCATGTTGAACTGTTATAAAATTTTTGAATTGCTTTTTTAACTGATTTAAAGTAAGAACTAACTAGAATTAAACTATTTTGGAGGAATGTTAACAATATTTAATATATTTACTTTTATATATAGTCTACTTTGCATGATAATCATCAAAGAAATTTGTCTTCTCTAAACCCACTACCTACAATAACAACAATCACTTAATAGCTATTACTTTTTTTTTTACAAAAGAATAAAGTAATCAGTTAATCAGTAAAAATTAAAAACTAATTTCATGAAAATTAATTATTAAATAATATTCTCTCATTAAATTTGTTTTTCAATATATTTCTGTTCAACCTCCGTCTCCGACAGAACTTGTTGGCAATGAAATGGAGATGTATCGGAATATTACAGTACAATGCAGTATTGGACGACGTATTATCTTACGTCTGTTCGACATTGTTAAAATTAATTAGCTTTATGTTACGGAAAAGTTAAAATATATCCGTTTACTACGGCAGCCGTGTATATATATTCGTAAAATACATCTATAAATTTATCATTTATTTTTTTTTTTCTTTGCATATTTCCTCATAGCTTTGGAAGATAAGAAAAAAACATTTATTTTTAGAAGAATATTTATTTATTTGAGTGTTTCGACGACTGGAGTCATTTACAATGAAGTCTCTTTATTCGCTTGAAGTATTTTTAAATTTTATTATAAATATCGATAGTTTTTAAGAATTTAATAATTCGTGAAGTCGTGTCCGGGTCCTGTCTCAATATTTGTTCTGGGTCTGTGGAGAATCTGTAGGAGTCGTGAGCCATACAATCCGTTAGTATGTGAATTTCGAATAACTCCAAAAGACTTTTTTGTCGATATTGTAATAAGATGTTTCAATTTTTTTTTTTAAATTTCCTAAAAAATGAAAGAAGTTTCATCGAAATCGAGGAAAAGTATGGTCTCCAGTTTTATTTCCCCGAAGAGGCTAAAATTTGGATAAATTTAAAATATAATGTTTTAATTGTTGAGTCTAAAAAAACCTTTTTTTCTACAGATATTTAATAAACTATCTTTCCTAAGAACATCTTTCATAAGAAATAAGTACCTCAATTTATACTTTTATTCTCAGTTCTATATTTCAACACTGCAATCACCATCTCCGGAATCACATTGCTCACAAATGTTGAAATTGGAGTTAGTCATTCTGTGGTTTATGAAAGCAGATGGATTGAATAGATTTTTATTGCCTACCGTCGATATATTAAATAGACATATTGTAATTATAATGGTCTTGATGACTTGTTCTCTGTAAGCTTTAAGCTTTAACTACGTTTAAAATGCACTTCAAAAAATTTTATTACAGCCCAGCTTGCCAAAAAATAATTTTTATTCTAAGGAGAATGGTAAGTGAAAGTTTATGGCCTGTTATTAATTTATATTTTTGTGCCAGAGCTTGATGCACGATTTTTGCCGCCTTATTATGTCTCGCTAGGTATTCTTTACCCGCCAATGCCTGGCAGCCAGAGGTAACATGTTGAATCGATTCATTTGTGGATTTAGATAGAAGAAAATCTGTCATCGACTGCTTCATGTAGAATATATTTCCTGTAGGAGGATGTTGCCATTACCTATTATTGTATCGCCAGAAGGAATTCCTCTATCTCTGGAAACATTTTTCCTGTAGTCAACCAACTGAGGCTTCTAAATTTATGCCAGGTGTTTTCAGGAAATTGTAAAATGTTGTGTTCACTAACAATTAACGAATGTTATTCCAATGATATATTTTATGCGATTTAACAAAATATAGCAATTCGAATTTCAAGTGTATTTGAAAAAAGGACTGATCATAAAAGAAAACTTATTATTAAAGTTGTGAAAAAAAAATCCAACAACAATCAATTTCCCACACAAATGCTATAACGAGAACCGCAGTCCACCCTTCGAATGGAAACGGAAAGGGAGAAGAAATAGGACTTGATGATGAGAGTATGAAGGACGGAGTACTGTAGTCGAAAAGATTATAATAAGAATGCGTGATATATTCGGGGGGAGAGGGGGGAGGAGCCTTCGGAAGGGGGGCACACAGCCTGCCGGTGAAGCCCTATGCTCCAGCGGACGTTCCTCAACAATCCTATATCATCGGCTCCGAGTTCCTCTAGAGGCCCTCAATGCGAATTTGAATAAGGATTTGCCTTTCAAATCCTCAGCCTCCTCAAATCCTCTGGGCCTCGAAAATTCTCTGGGGTGAGGCGATATCTGACACGGGCAGGACCCCAGTCAAATTTCTATATTATACCCCGAATTTCGGAACAAGACGGAGGGGGAGGGGCGAGATTCGGAAAATTAAAAAACAAAAAACATTCCAAGTCTAAATATTGCGTTACCCTTTGAGAACTATTCTTGCAATTTTCTCCCGTACTGAAAGCATTCAATAAAATGCAAATCTACACACTCCTATGTTTTCCTTTTTCTTCTCTTCAAGAGCAATCGAGTAAATTTCTTTACTTTTCCTCAACTTGATATCACGCAAGAATATTGCAAGTCAATATTATATTTATCTCCCACCTCTATTATTTAAATATGTATGAAATAATTAAAATATTAATACTTAGGCAATTCTATCAAGAGAAAAATCGCTCAGTGAGTGTGGTACTCTTATACTCGAGGTTCTAGATTTGAGTCCAGCTAAGGTATATAATTGTTTATTCTGTTATATTAGCAGCGGATCGTCTCTGGGATCAGAAGACACAGACTCAATAAAGTGGATTACTTTTTTATTGATAAATATTACAATCTGTCTCAATTAAGGATATTTATAATAGAGTTCAGAGAGCACATGCACACCATAGTTACAAAATAGAAAACAATAATTTCAAATTAATATTCAGCTAAATAAGAACAAAATAAAATATCATAATGAAGGAAGGAAATAATAGTAATAATAAAATTAAAATAAATAAATAAAATAAGATTAAAATGTCCTTAAAAAAAATTAATAAAAATAAATATCTTAAACATGCCTGCGACCTATTTACCAATGGCCAAGGGAAGTCCAAACCATA